CCTTCCCCCTCCCCTTCCCCTTCCCCGTCCCCTCCCCCTCCCTTTCCCTCTCCTTCTCCCTCTTCCTCTCCTCCTCCAGATGCACTGTCTCTGAAACAGGCACAGAGCAAGCAACCTTTTCTCTTTACTCTTCCATCTGTAAATTCAATTCACTCAGTAACTAATTCACCTTACCTGTGTATGTGCGTTGTTGCTTTACCAAGAATTTTAGCTCATTGAAGACACAGTACCATACATCTAACTCATGGGAAAAAAACATTGTCTCTCATCCCTTTGGTTCTATTGAATTCACTTATCCTCCTAAATTTAGTCAAATAATGTTCCTCTCTTATTGTTAAAGTCCCACAGAAGATCTAGTTTTGGGGAACAGTAGAAATCTGACTATTGATTGCACTAAAAGTACAAGTGACATCCTTACTTCAGACTCACAAGAAAAGATGTTGAGTTACATTCCAGTTCTATTAAGAAACTGGAGTCCCCAAGGACAGGGACTCTGTATTGTGTTTGTTTTATACCATTTTCATAAGTCACAAGCATCTTGTACTCATCACTAAACAAAATGTTAAGCAAACGTCTGAGGGTGTATAGTACTCTTCTGGAAGATGACACATAATTGTAGGGGTGGAAGGGGCCTTACAGCTAATTAGTTGAAATGACACCATAATTCCCTAGCTTTTTACAATATCCTTGATCCCAGAAAATAGCTGTCAAGCCTCAATATACCTTTACTCTTAAAACACCATTCGTACATTCTATAGTGCTATGGAACGAACAGTGCTAACAGCAGCTGTGAGTAATCAACATTTGTCCATATCCACTTAACTTCATGTGAAGAAATACTAAGAGTCCATTTTAAGAAGTGAGACTGACCCAGCACGTGGGGTTATCTAAAGAAATAAAGAGAAACAATACCCACAAGTCCTTTTTGTCAGCCACAACTTCTTAGCAACAACACAGGTTCCAACACAACTTCACCCAACCTGCCTTTAGCTGCATTTCATAGCATTTCTCCCTTGCCCCATCTCTTCCAATTTGAGCGACTTTTAGGGATTTGTATCTTTGCTCAATACCACCATCTTTCCTTTAAGTTTCTCTTTAGGCACATACTACTTGCTCTGTTCAAAAAGCTCTACCACACAAGTATCAAATCTTCAAAATCAAGTATCACATTTTCTGAAAGAAAGTGAGCAGAGTCTAAAGAGCTTCACATGTACATATCTTCATGTTATTTTTCTGGCCTTTTACATATGAAGTCCCTGGAAGCTGCAAATGTTAAGTAAATTCTTTCAAGTAAACACAGGGGTTACTGATTCACTGGTATGACTAGAACCCGTTGTCTCTTGTTCTGAGAACAATCACTCTTCTGAGCTGTTCCAAAGTAAATCTTCTCCGTTCAATGTCCAGATAATGATCATAGTAATAATAATAAGTAGCTAATATTAATAAAACACTTACTACATGATAAATACTATTCAGTCTTACCAGGGATTGTTTTATTGATCTTCATAAATTATCCCCACTCTACAGATAAGGCACCTAAACCCCAAGACACTAAGCAACTTGCCCAGGTAATAAATGACAGAGTCAGTCAGGCCTGAAGCCCAGGACTTGCGTCAGTAGGCTGTATGGTTAGCAACTAACTGACACCACTAGCCTCATGGTTATTGATTCCGTATTGGCAATGCTGAGCTTCACTGAGAAGCACTTCCACCTGCAAGCATCACTCTTCCTATGGCTGCCTGAAAGGAACCTTTTTTTTTTTTTATTATGGAAAGGGCACAGTAGACACCTGGGTATTAAGCACTGGAAGTGTCCATGACAACACACTTGGAAGCCTTCTTGGTGGGCCCTGACATGATAACAAGCACAAATTTCTTTATTCCTTAGTAACTGGCTTCCTGACATGTATCGGGAAGAACTGGCTTTACAGACGTCTGAAGGTACACCTTATAATGTATTCATTTGTGCTGGCTGAAGGTCAATTCTGATTCTAACACTATTTTTGTTAACAAAGTCTTTCCCAGTACTCTTTTGACCATAACTTATTTCTTTCACCAACACCCCCTCCCTGAAATTTCTTGGGAGAATCTGCAACTGTTTTATAGTTCTTTGTTTCCCACTCTGGGCTTCAGAGGAAATTTAAACGTGGCAAGCATTCAATACAAAATTACAAAAGCTGCATCAAAACACTAGTTAATATAATTATTAGATCCAAAGAGAAAAGCATTTTTTTCCCAGAAAGATTATTTGATTTTTTAACTTTAAGCATGCAGCTGACTCCTGATTAAGGAACACAAGGGATTGGGAAATCTTTAGGAAAGAGCACATGTGCATTGTGCCTCTGTTTTTCCTGAAGTCTGTTGCTGAAAGTTTAAGGTGTGAGCCTGGTGCTCACAGGGATTCTCAGTAGCAGTCCCTAGTACAATTGGGCTGATTGTGACAGCTCACACACAGACCCTAAAATGTCATTCTAATGTACTAGCAAAGATCAGAAATTGGGATATGAGTCACGTCTGAATTCATGGAAATAGTATCAGAAATCTTCCGAGTGCTTCCCAGTTGTTTGCACAGTGCTAACATCTATCAAATACCTACTATAGGTGCTACTCTCTTAAATGAAAAGACAAGGGTATCAGTTAAGCCACGTAGGAGCAGCGATCTGCTGGCCAATTCTTATTTGGAGAAAGCAGGTGGCTGGGCAGTGATTGAAGTGTCCAGCAGGGGGCTGGCATTCTCTGTCTATACGTGGTCCTGGCTCCTCTTCAGAGCCTCCGCTTAGGAGAGCTGCGGTTTGCTGGTGAAGCTGGTGACGCGCAAAACATACTGCCTATAGGATTGGAGGCTTTCTTAGTGCAGTTTTTTCTACCCACTTTAAACCTTCAGGTTCTACATATCAGGGAAGACAGGAAATGCTGTGTGAAAACAGCAATCCAAAAGTTCTTAGTAAACTGCAGCCAGGAAGACTCAGACTGGGATGGAGGTAGGAGGAGCCGATACAGAGTGAGATTAATCCTAAGCTTTGCTTTGGGCTGAGTTCTTGTTGCTTGTTAACTTAGTGCATTTAGAGATGTGTTGCACTGGTTGTGTGAAGGTACCAACACCAAAATACTGAGAGAGAGTTGGGAATACTAGAATGTGTATATAGTCGGAGTGTTTTTATTAAGGAAGATAAAGAGCCCAGCACAGATATCATCCTCATCATCACCTAACTGCAAGACCAAAAGTTAAACAAGAGCATCTTAAGGGCACTTTAAAAAGAGAAGTCTCGAGATGGATCCAAATAATTGTTCCCTTCTGAACTTGGAAATGGACCGTTTCTTGTACTGCAACGACGCCTTCAGTCACAGTGTGAATAGCCCCAAGAAAGACGACTGGTTCCGCCCGGGGATCCTCTATGTCATCCCTGCAATTTATGGAGTTATCATCATAATAGGCCTCATTGGCAACATCACCCTTATCAAGATCTTCTGTACAGTCAAGTCCATGAGAAACGTTCCAAACCTGTTCATCTCCAGCCTGGCATTGGGAGACCTGCTGCTCCTGGTAACATGTGCTCCGGTGGATGCCAGCAAGTACCTGGCTGACAGATGGCTATTTGGCAGGATCGGTTGCAAACTGATTCCCTTTATACAGCTTACCTCAGTTGGGGTGTCAGTCTTCACATTGACAGCACTGTCAGCAGACAGGTAAGTACTGGCTGGAAGTTCTATACCCTCTTGGGGGCGGGGGGGGTGG